ATTAGTCGTAAGAGTGTTGCTATAGACGTTCATATGCGGGATCGAACATCTTGGATTTGAGTCCTTTATGCAGATTCGTGGATGTCCACTGCTCAGGAGTCCCATTCCAGACCAAAACAGCCGTCCAGAAACTTACTAACTTTTTATTTATTTATTCGGCAAATATTCAGTGCAATTTCTAAGTTTCTTTGTTTCTTCATACCATTATATCTTAGAATAGTCTTCTTAGATTTAATAAATCAAAATTGAATGTTACTATTAGATAAACTGTATTACTATTCCGTTTAGCTAATGTTCAGATAGTTTGACTATAGGTTTATTCAAAAAACAACTTTCCAGTTTTAACAGTTGAATCCATGAGTCGATCTAAGCTAGAGCCCCTTTGAAAACCTGGAAGCAATGGATGGCCGCTTCGTCCTAACGTAGGACTCTTCAGCAGTGCAGATCCACGATCCCACGTGCAGGACTTGAGCCCAGGACCTTTTGTCTCGTGCGCGAACGCCTAACCTGTAGACCTCCAAAGTTATAAATTGTTGATTTTACGGTATTGAGAATAATTAAAAAGAGATAGTTGAATCAGTTTACAATAAAGAAAAGCATCATTGGTTTATATAAATTATTCCTAAGATAATGAAAATTCTGAAAATGTTCTGCCAGCTAAAAATTTCATTTGATTAAATCAAGAATAATTAATATAGAGGTTTCTCATCCGCTGTTTACAACCTAAGCGTTATAGTATTAATCTTAAAAGATCACTGTACATACTTTATATCACAACATCGTAAGCTACTACGCTTCATATCAAGGTCTAGAAAATGGGACACATTGTTGTGTTCATGTTCCACTGTAAATCCAATATTTGTTTGTGCCATACTGAGAAGTTTTAGTAAATGAGAAGCATGTCGATAATCATTATAGGTCACAAATTTATCATCAACATACTTGACGTACAAAGTTATATTAATGATTATTGATTTCATCACAGTCTGTTCTAGGTTTCTCTAAACATATCTTCGAGGATTGGACTCAGTAGGTTATCCATAGCCAGCCACTCTATCAATCCGACGGCAAAAAGCGTTATAGAATTGAAATTTCATTTCTTCAGTACACATTAATAGAAGTTGTTTAAATTAATCTTTTGGTAGAGGGAATAGGTAAGCGTGTTGGTATATAATAAAAATTTAGTTAGTCCGATTAATTACGTAATGACGTATCGAATTTAAATTCTTATGATTGGTAAATGCCGTATGTACTATTCAGTAGGAAAGTCTAGTTTGTTATAAGTCAGTTGCTTTCTTCTGCATTTTCATATAATATGTAATCTGTGACGTAGTGGGGATGCTATTCTATGTCCATTGCCAAACCTATTTTTATTTAGTGACTGATCTGATGTCAGTCTGTAATGAACACAACTTTGAAGTAAGCTTCTATGATTTTAATTTTACCTTAGAATATCACATCCCTAGAAGGATGTTGAAATTTTAAAATTTCCCTCTTGAATTTTATAAAATATATTAAATTTACTACATTTTACACTTATATACATTAAATTTCATACATATAAACATTATATTTCCAATTTATGTTATACTTATTCCCTACTCTTAAATGTACGATAACTTGTCCATCAAACTAATATCATTTACCTGTACTCTCACACTTAAACACAACAATATGTTTATCAGTACTAAGTGACTGTTTTGACTGACTATTGTTCAGTAGTAACAATGATTACTATGCTTAATTTGTGTTATCGATTTTGAGTTTTCGATTGACTAATATCATATTGTTTAATGAATGTACGTCAAGTGACAATATTCTTGAGTCAATCTGTTTCCGAAATATGATACTATGTGGTTGTTAGGACACAGTTGTAAAATTTTGTACAAATTTACGCAGTGATTATTTACTTAAATCAAAATACCATAACTGGCTTAGAATAACTAATTATTCATGGTATTTATAATTGCTTATACTTAATTCGATAGTTTCAAGGGAAGAGAAACTGTTCATGACAATATTTTAAAGCATATTAGTCATAATCATTAATCCACATTCATCACCAATGATAATACCGCTTTCCATGTGGATATTTGCACGAACAAAATAAACTTGGTTTGAATTCTTGAATATCCGACATTTGTTATAGTCATTATCCAAAGTTGAGCTGGATGATCTATTGAGGAGCTACCGTCCTTGTTATGAATAATGTCATCACTGTATATTCAAAATAGAAGTAATCGTTAATTGTGTTGACCTGAACCACAATGAAAGCTCATAGTTAAGTCAATCAGCCCCCCAGAAAAACGTAATAATATAGAAATCACTTTTGTTGTTTATCTCTATAAATATACATTTATGAATCGCAAAGCAATAATAAATTTGTTACACCTTATAGACTGATCTGAATTTAGTGTAAGACAGTTTATCTTTTATTCAATACACCTGTATTGATAAAGAAAATTCTATATTAACTCAGTGTCGAAGACTTCCCTTAGATGTTTTCTAAGCATTTTTAAGATGAACGATAAAGATTCTGTTGGGGGTGATCAAGAAAATTTCTCGCGAAAGACAAGCAAGGATCAGGAAACACTAAGAAGAGTTTCGTCCAGTCAGCGTTCACTTGAAGTTTTAACCATAAATATCAAGGAAGTGAAACATCAGATGTAGAGGTTCTGATTGGCTGATTGCTATACTGCTACTATGGTTAGTAGCATTCCAGAATCTTCGAGTAACCCAAGGACATTTAAAATATTATAAAAACCCTATATTTTCTGTATTGAAATGAACCTTGGAGTAAAGTACTTCTCGCATATTTTGCGTCTTCTCTCTCGTGTTCAGGTCGCTGTATAGTTCTAGCTTGGGGGGTTGCAGAATAGCTTAGGAGACGAATATAGCGTTCAGTTTGCAAGACTTATCAGACTCTGAACTGTAAATTATTTCAGTTTTTGTCATCTTGAAAGAAATTTTCAAAATAAAACTCTACACTACTTATTAAATATTTTCTTATTTACTTTATATTAAAACCTCTGAAACATTATATGGTGTAAAATTGCCAGTGATAAAGTGAACAACTTAGCTAATTACATTTATGCTTACCTAAAATATGATTTAATAAAGTTAATTAAATAGAAATTGTTCATAGTCAATATCAGGTCAAGCAAAATAAAGTACATGATGATATTTATATGTTATTACATCTAATTGATAGTTTAGATTAAATTGTGCATTATGTAATCGAATAGTAATATCTCTGGGAATTTCAAAAAAATAGCTTTACAAAAATAGTGAGTCAGTGTCGTTTTCATTCGACTTAGCCACTAATATATGTATATGCATTACTTCGGGGATGTGCAGTGCTAAGGAATTCCACAATCGGATGAAATGGCCGTCCAGTGCTTCTAGGTTTTCCATGGTGGTCTAGTTTCAATTAACTCATGATCTGAACTATTGAAATTACTTCAGTGTATTCAGTGATTCAATACAAAAATAATTAACTCTTTAGGTGTGTTGTAATTTAAAATGATAATATTCAATTATATTTATTCGTCTATATTCATTGACCGTATATTAGTATATTAATTTTTTATATCCTAAGGATATCAGCGGCTTCAGTGAAACAGAAAAAAACCATCAACTTATTTTCCTGTTACTATGATTATTTGAAAATCAAGTAACTGAACATTCAGTTTATTAAGTTTTATTGGTATTTATCAGAATGGGTTTTTCGGAGATAGTTGAAATCATGAGTCAATTGAAGCTAGACCACCATGTAAAACCTCGAAACACTGGACTGCCGTTTCGTCCTAGTATGGGACTCCTCAGCAGTGCGCATCCATGATCCCTCACCCCGCGAGATTCGAACCCAGGACCTACCAATCTCGCGCGCCAGGCGCTTAACCAACTAGACCAGTGAGCCGGCCGGTATCCAACGGTGTTAATGTCTAATTTCAACCAATCCATGAAGTTGTGCCACCGTACACTATTGTCTTCACTGAGTTGATATCCCACAACAGAAAGTGAACTTGTTCTTTTTGTTTCCATATAAAATTGCATGTGATAACGAACCTTGTTGAAGAGTTCTAACAAGTGGATTTTATTCTATTAAGTGTTGCAAACAATAAACCTTCTATATTTAACTTCAGTAGAACTAAATTAAATGAGTTTACTAGGTATATTGAAATAATTTTGCAATATTTTAAGAGCTTTTTGGTGACTTAACACTTCAATCACAAAACATCATTCTTTAGTGTTCAATCGAATGTATGATGACTCGAATATCTACGGTAGCACTATGTACCACGTGCCTGATAAATTAGTAGATTTAAATTAGTAAGACCTAAAAAAATTATTCTTACTAGGCTAATTTTAAAAGCAAAAGAACACAATAAACGATAAGCATCGAAGTATATTTATCTAGAAGGTTATACAATAGCTTGATGCACTCACAGGCTTTACACGTTCAAATTTGTCAAGCATTTAAATTAGGCTTGATGCGAATAAAGTCTTGTTTTAATAATTATTGGTTCGCCTATATTCTTATATATTGTATGATGTATGTATCCACATGTGGATTTGTTCCACCTATCTGCCTAAGCAATAACTATTTTGACTGTATTCACATTTAACCAATAATGACTTATCCGCTTATATATTGGATTGTGAGGTCATTGAAATTGGACAGTTTCCATAACGGAATATTGAAATATTTATTTGCTTGATAAATACTTATCTATTCATTCCTCTTTTTCACCATGTGCATGATGGTTGCGTCATTATTCAAGGTACTTTGATATGCCTTTTAAAGACCATAAACTGTCAGGAATTGTCATCAGGACAGTTATCCTGTTAATTTATATACGAATTGTAAGAATAATCACATAGATAATAATTACATTTAAGATCATTTTTACAAACAATAAACCATTTAATGTAACACCAGATTTCTGAAATTTATGATTATTAATGATTAAATTAATGAATCACCTAGATATACTTACTAATTATAAAGTGAAATGTCGGGTATCCACAAGTATTCCACAGGTATAGTCACTGAATCGATACCACCGTATTCATTTGGATTCCATATTAAATTGTGATCTATCCATTTCTAATTTATGTTTAATATTAAAAAGAAAATACAATATTTAAATTAACATTATTAAAAAAAAATTAAAATGTTATTTTATAAGAAGGTATTACTTACTTACTAACGCCTGTTACTCCTCATGGAGGATCATAGGCCGCTCATCAGCATTTTCCATCCAACCCTGCCCTGGGCAATCCTTTCCAGTTATTCATCCTTTTCATATCTGCTTCTATTTCCCGACGTAATGTGTTCTTTGGTCTTCCACTTTTCCGCTTCCTTTCAGGATTCCAAGTTAGGGCTTGCCTCGTGATGCAGTTTGACGATTTGCGTAATGTATTTCCTATCCATTTCCATCGTCTTTTCCTAATTCCCTCTTCAACTGGAAGCTGGTTTGTTCTTTCCCAGAGAAGGCTGTTGCTGATGGTATCCGGTCAATGGATGTTGAGTATCTTGCATAGACAGCTATTTATAAATACTTGTACCTTCTTGGTTGTGGTTGTTGTAGTTCTCCAAGTTTCAGCTCCGTACAGTAGAACTGCCTTGACGTTGATATTGGTTGGGAGTTGTTTTGAGTTCTATATGTTCTTCAATTGTAGGAATGCGGCTCTTGCATTGCCAATCCTCGCCTTTACGTCTGCATCTGAGCCTCCTTGTTCATCGATGATGCTTCCCAGGTATGTGTAGGATTCTACATCTCCCAGAGTTTCGCCATCAAGAGTGATTGGATTGTTGATAAGAGGGTATTACATAATTCCAATTTAGTTTACCAGTCAATATTTAGTTTCATACTTTTAAGCTTAGTTATAACAAAAAAATATGATAAACATGTATGAAATCTACATTATAGTTGTTGAATGTACAAAAGTCAACTTTAAAATGAATCTACACGTTACTTTTAAGTGACGTACTAGTACTAGAATAAAAGAACAATGTGTATACACTTAAATGGTATAACATACTCAATTGTACAAATGAAATAATTATCTAAATATCAGTGAAGGATATCATTATCGGCAAGTGAATGAATTATGTTGTTATTGATATTCACAAGTGAATCTTAAGTCATGATTGGCATATTTATTCATCCGAGTTAGATTGCTTTATTATAGGCATTTCAATTGATCGGAATTCAAGGAGAGATTATCATTTATGGGTGAATCTCAATCAAATATAGGATAAGAGGGTCTTGGATTTTGATGTGAAATTCATTCATCCATTTAGTTAAATAGTGTCTTGGCATTTTAACTGATATATCAGTTCATAATGAAAACTCTGTTTAATTCCTTTTTGAAGAATTTATTCAATATCCACCCCTGAATCTACTATATTTGACCTAATTATTTTACATATTACGTAATTTCCGATTTGTAATCACAATATTCTCCCTCTCTCTCTCTCTCTTTTACCCCATGTTAACCATATTTATTCTGAACATTTATCGTACAATTTCATTTCGCTTATAAACTGATTCAAGTTAACACTTTATATTAAACAGCCCCAACACTGACGATTTTATTTATATAACAAACAATTCCTGATTCACATATTACAATTTCCGAATGATGTATTTTGCCTTAAATCTGGCCAATTTAATGGATTATTAATTTGGATTTATGATTGTAGAACCTGATGAGAAATTATTGAAAAGAATATTCTTCGTTCATACAATTGTGTTTAAATTTAATTCCTAACCCTAACCATCAACTGTAAATCATAATTCTAATTCTTCACCCTGCTTTTAACCGTCATTTAGTCCTAGTTTATAGGTCGACATTCTCAGGGTCGCTTTAGCGTTGCTCAAAGGTCGTCCATAAATTATAGTCTCACCGAATTCAGTCTTGGATATGAACAGATTATCTTAAACTCTTACTAATAATGTTACCAACATCTTCTTTGAAGAAAACATCGATCGTCTTCCACTATAAATTTCCGCCAAATGTTTTAATCACCAATATCGCTTCTTTAATTTCGATACTGAAATAGTATGATTATAATTACTATTAAAATTTCACCATGAATCGATAATAGATTATGAGAAAATTGTAAAACTTTGTACAAATTTACATCTCTCCAGGTTCATTCAATTCTTATTTCGCTTATTCATGAATGATTCAGTTCAGCCTCTAGTGTAAAATAAATCACCATTTATTTATCATAATCATATAATTACTATTTTGTACTGTCATTATTATTATTATTTAGAGAAATGTTTGTAAGAGTTCATGGAAATCGTTAATTAATTGTCGATTATCTTGTGGATGTCTCAATGCATCTTACTTTGTGCTGAACTGCATGTACCCTAGACTTCAGCGGTTATTATTTACCTATATATATTGTAGTATTGGTAACTAAGATGTAATTAAAACTGTTTCTGACAGAACACAATGAATTTACTACCATATGGAATGACTTGAATAAGTTTTGTTCTCAGAAATGACAGTTCACTCAGACAATAGATGACATAAAGTATGAAAAGTGAGGTTAACTATATTCTACTAAATGAATATAAGTAGTTTTTAAGTTGATGTATAATTATGTCAATGTATTTAGCCTAATAATTAATTTTTATATTATCAATAATACAACTCGATAAAAATTAAACGTTAAAACTGTATTAAATTTGATTCATACAAGTGACCAAGAGACAATTAGCAGTTTAGTAAATAAAATCTCGAAATCTGAAATCAGTTCTGACCTTAAATTTCAAAATGAATCACAATATAGTGTTGTATATTACACTCAACTAACTAGTCACTAAGTAAAACCAAATGAACATCCAATATTCCACTGATAGCCTATATATATTGTTTTGATGATGAACTTAATTCAAAAGTATTAGTCCCAGCTATTTATCGTTGAAAGTTCAGCTTTTTCTTGATCGTAGTATATTTCATTTCTTTTGTTCTTGTACCTCAGAATTTTACTAACAAACTTTTATGTTCAATAATAATCTGTCAGACCATTTTCAGATACAATGAATTCCTCTTCAATTTACTCCTCTGAATGTAATTTCAATAGATGATTGATTAATGTCTTAACCAAAGCTTATTTTAAAGATTATCGTATAGAAATTACCAAAATGAAAATAAAATCAATTCTTAGTGTCTTGGATAAATAGATTTTCCTATTTGGCCAATTGGTAGATGTCATTTGCTAAGAAGAGTAGATTAATAAAGAATTAAATGCAGTTGAGAAGTTTTTGTGAGATGATAGCTGCCCACAAAATGTACGAGTTTATATAGTAAAATGGATATAGGGTAAACTGAAACCTTTGATGCAATTTTTCGGATTATTATTATTATTATAAATGGCTTTATTCAATATTATATTTTTGGAATTTTCAGCACAAAGTATTTAAACAAGTTTCCGTTTCTAATTCGTTAATCGATCCTGATGATGAATATTGAGTGATCACCAGTTAGATGCTAGCAGTTCAGGAATCGACATCTGGATAATGTTAATTCTTTTCAAAGCATATTATCAGCAACCACGATGTCTCTGGTTGTACTTTATATTTAGTTGTAAAGTGAATGGTCGTAAACTTTTCATAAAGGCGCCTGAATAGATTATGTGATTGATGAACATAATGATGTTTTAGAACAAGCAAAAAACAGGTAACTTGTTGGAATATCTAGATGGTAAGAACAGGTAGCATAGTTATTCTAGTAGGCCGCCAGATGGGCATAATTAGTAAATATAATTAGCATATAACCAAATGATTGCATTTCTATATTACCCTAATTGTAACGTTTTAGTGGAACTAATGGCTGTTGTCATAAGTCTTACTGTTCCCTAATTATTGCTCATAAGTAAAGTACTATTTTCACCGACCTTTTCGTTTTACAATATAATTGTGTTGAAAGGCTGATTCCTTATATTGTGTATTATGTGGTCAAGCACTTCAAGTATATTATTATGTGATCAAATCGAGTACAATAAAGAATTGATCCACTTCCTGTCTGAATCTTTTGATTAGCTACTCGGGCTCACCAACCAATAAGCAATATAACTTTGGTTGTTCAGTGAATATTGTGTACATTCGTGGACTAAACCAGTTCGTTTGGTAATATAATGCTTTTCTGTGTACAGATATGAGTAGTATGTAGCGGGAATAGGAATTAGAACGCTTACCAACAGAAGATTGAAATAGAGAGAACAAGAAGAAAAATGAGATCAATCGGAATTAAAACAAAATTAGAACAATGATGAAGTACATAAAGGACAACTGAAGAAAGATGTGCAAATGCAAGGTGCGATTTTGCATTAAACAATAAATAAATTTACTGCTCCTGAGTTTTCGTTCACTACAGTACGTAATATCGACTAATATCTCTAGACATACCAAACCAGCGCTGTTTCTCAGAACAAAACACAGATTTTGTGTTCAAATAAGAACGGAAGAAATAGGTTGTGCCGTAATCGAAAAATGTTCATGGTTTTGCTAATTAGTATCAAACGCAATTAAATCACCGGGAAGTTTAGCTGCAAATATACTATGTTGAATTAAGCAATTGTTATGATAACAAAAACAATATCAAACCACAGACCACATTCAATCACTTATCCTTAAAATCAATGATCGAACTAGAATCGCAAATCTATTCATGAAAATATGGAATACAAAGGAAGGAACTGTAGGGCTTTGTAGTACCTTCATCTTATTTTTTGATAAGTATAAGTGAGTTTTGGAGACCATTGAATTTTCATAGTTTACGTCAAGGAGTGCTACTAGCTTAACAATTATTAAAAAATCAGAAACCAATGAACATATGTTTCGTCCTTGTGTAGGACTCTGAAGCGGTTCGGATCCTTGATCCCACAGGGAGTTGAGCCCAGGTCTCATCAATAATAATCATACACTCATCATTGGCTAACTAGTGTATATAATTCTTGGAATTCTAGTAAAAAGCCGAAGCTAGTGGAGTTCAGTCATGTCGAGTGTAGGATATTTATTTACCGCAGACAGACTAAATTATCTGAACATCAAACGCCGTGGGATCGCGGAAGAGCACTTCCGAGGATTCTTATCTAATAACCAAACAGATATCTTATTTGTTTTGTGTTGAATAAATAAATAAAATTTTCTATTGAACAGTGTGAATGAATTCATATTTTGTTCCTGAAAGAAATATTTATTTAATTTTAAGCTATCACCTAATATTGTTTCCTCAACCATTCGTTTCTTCTAGAATACTTTTTTTTTGATTACTTTAATTTAACCTTCATTTAAACTATAAAGATTTCATTGAGATAATCACTGATTGACCGAAAAATGTCTGAAGAATATAATGATAAAATGTTAAGTCGTAGTCACGCTAATGGTTTAATCTTATCATTATGTCAATTGTATAGCTCTCAAATCACTTCCGTACAATTATATTTTCTGTATAGGTTAAAGCTGTTTTAGAAATGAAAACAACCCTGAACAGATAGAAATATAACAATAATAATAATAATAATAATAATAATAAATAGCTCAGTGGTATCGTCTCTAATTGTGAAGCTGGGTGATACAGAATCGAATCTGTCAGGGAGTATCAGTTCCCTCAAGATTACAGGTACACTTTTCTGACGCGTGCCAAATAGCACAAAAGCTAGGTCCAGGGTTTCCTGTTGACTACCTTTAACCACCATCTCATCGCAATCAAGATGGTTTATTAGTCAATGATAACAACGAAAAATGAGTACACGGTTAGTCGTCTTGAGTAAACAGCGCGATTCGATAATAAAGTTGCGTGGATATTAATAAGCGAAATGAATTAATATAATAACATAGGAAATAGGTTATAGCTTGATAAGCAAGCTTATTAAAATAATAGTCATTAAAATTTACACAATAAGAAACATGTGACTGATTAGTTTAAAAAATATAACTAACAAAGAAGAATAAACAGAGTGTGAAAAACTGGTTGAAACGTTTGGTAAGTCATATCCGGATAAATAAAAGACAGCAGGTATTGAAATTTTCTAAAGAACACAGGAACTGGGGTAATTAACTCGAACTTCTGTAGCTTCTTTTATGTATAGCAGATGAGATCGTCCCTTATTAAGAAACGTTTTAAAGTATACAATAATAAACCACTTTGAACGCTCTAGTTCTATCTGCTATATAATAGCCATCGTCGAGGTGTGAAAGAACGGAACTGTATATTGATTTTATGAAACCGTTTTCCAACCATGAAGAGAAGTGTTCGGTACTCCTTTGGCCATCCATATACTTATCAGTTTATATTTAGGTAAATATTAAATTAAATCCGCCTGGAGCCCTTCTTATGCTACTGCCGGTCTCAAGCCCGGGTCAAGGAGGAGGGTTGGGCATGGGGTTAGCGACCCCATCGCGTAGAAAACTAACTTGCTAACAAAACGCTAACCAGATTCCTGATCAAGACACCAAAGAAAAGCGATCTCAGCAAGTGTGATAACTACAGAGGCATCAATCTTCTCCCAATATCAGGAAAACTCCTCAACAGGGTATTATTAAATAGAATGAAGGACTCCGTAGACGACCAACAGACTGAATTCCGTAAGGACCGATCGTGTACAGACCAAATCACAACGCTATGGATTATTGTGGAACAATTAATTGAGCGGAATTCATCACTCTACATCAACTTCATTGACTACGAGAAATCATTTGACAGCGTGGGCAGGACAAAACTGTGGAGGCTTCTTTGACATTAAAGAGTACCTGAGAAGATAATCAATATCATATGGAATTCCTATAATGGACTAAACTGCAAAGTCGTGCATGGACGAGGATAGCTGACAGACACGTTCGAAGTAAAGACCGGTGTCAGGGAAGGTTGCTTACTCTCACCCTTTCTCTTTCTCCTGGTGATCGACTGGGTCATGAAGACATCAACATCTGAGGGAAAGCATGGGATACAGTGGATAGCTAGGATTCAGTTGGACGATCTAGACTTTGCAGATGATCTGGTTCTACTATCGCACACGCAACAGTAAATACAGGAGAAGACGACCAGTGTAGCAGCGGCCTCAACAGCAGTAAGTCTCAACATACACACAGAAAAAAGCAAGATTCTCTGATACAATACAACATGCACCAATAGAATCACATTTGACGGAGAAGCATTGGAAGATGTCAAGACATTTACATACCCGGGCAGCATCATCGATAAACATGATGGATCTGATGCAGATGTGAAGACGCAGATCAGCAAAGCAAGAGCAGCGTATTTACAAATGAAGAACATCTGGAACTCAAAACAACTGTCAACCAACATCAAGGTTATAATTTTCAACACAAATGTCAAGACAGTTATACTGTATGGGGCTGAAACTTGGAGAACTACGAAAGCCATCATCCAGAAGATACAAGTGTCTATTAACAGCTGTCTACGCAAAATACTTCGGATCTGTTGGCCAAACCAGTTCCCAGAAGAGGAAGAAATCAGCAAAAAGCGCTGGAAGTGGATAGGACACACATTGAGGAAAGCACACAACTGCATCACAAGGTAAGCCCTCACATGGAATCCTCAAGGCCAAAAGAGGAGAGGACGATCAAAGAACACATTACACCGAGAAAAATGAACAACAATTGGATAGAACTAGGAAGGAAGGCCTAGGCAAGACTGGGTTGAAGAATGCTGGTCGGTGGCCTATGTTCCATAGGGAGTAACAGGTACAAGTAAGTAAATATTAAATTGGTAACCAGATTATTTGATAACATGTATTGTCCTTATTTACATAATAGGTGGAGGGTATTAATTAATCTATTTATCCAATAATATACATCCATCAATAAAGAGACAAAAGATAAATCAATATATTACTTACATATAATGAACGAACACTTGTTGTTAAAATTTGATCCATTTCATCTAAATCTAATATTTGTAATAATTCTAAACCAAATTCTACAGTAATTTGTTGTGTAATTTGTATTGGTGTTACATAAACTCTTGGTGTTAAACCATCTACAACTGGTCTAGATTGTTTTTCATAATCATATAATAAATCTTTAATTAAACGTTTTTCAGCCCAATCTGTTGTAATACGATTTAAATTAGATTCCCAATTAAAATTTAAATTTGTATCTAATGATTGAATTGTATTGAATGAATTATTGATATTGATTAATGATAAATGATGATAAGATCTTGAATAATGATTGGTTAAATTTGAATCATTTTTAATTAATGATTTATTATTATAAATTGAATGAATCCATTGAATATTGGAATAAATTTGTTTCATATAAAGTACAATATAAAAATAAACTATGAATTGAAATTGCATATTTGTTTATTTATTTTTTGTTTCTTTTTGTTTTTGTTTCTTTTTATTTATTTATTCATAAATTTGTTTATTCCTAATATCAATTTATGATCTAAAATTAAAGCAAAGGATAAACATTAACATGTTGTAGTATATATATATAATGTGGTAATATGAATCCTATGATTATATAATGAAAAAAGATGAAAACTACACTTTATAAATTCCACTGGTTGAAATTATGAGTCAATTGAAGCTAGACCAACATGGAAAACCTCGAAGCATTGGACAATCGTTTCATCCGAGTATGGGACTCCTCAGCAGTGGTTGAAGTTAGACATTAACACCGTTGGATGCCGGCCGGCTCAGTGATTTAGTGGTTAAGCGCTCACGCGTGAGATTGATAGGTCTTGTGTTCGAATCTCACGGAGGGCAGGATCGTGGATGCGCACTGCTGAGGAGTCTCACACTAGGACGAAATGGCCGTCCAATGCTTCCAGGTTTTCCATGTTGGTCTAGCTTCAATTGACTCATGATTTCAATCAGTGAAATTTCTTAAATCTCCACAAAACCCCTTCTGATAATAATCATCTGCTCACTGGTGACTAACTTCAAGAGATACTCCTGGAGTTCCAGTGAGAAGCTGTTACCAGTGGAGTTCAACCAGGTCTGTTGTGAGATATCAACCCAGTGAAGACAGTGTTATACGGTGGCGCAACTTCATGGATTGGTTGAAGTTAGACATTAACACCGTTGGATGCCGGCCGGCTCAGTGATTTAGTGGTTAAGCGTTCGCGCACGAGACTGATAGTTCTTAAGTTTGAATCTCGTGGGGGGGCGCTATCGTGAATGTTCACTGTTGAGGAATCCTATACTAGGATGAAATGGCCGTCCAGTGTTACAAAGTTTTCCGTGGTGGTCTAGCTTCAATTGACTCATGAATTCAACTATAAAATTATTGCTTTCTGTCACATTTTTATCTTACAAATTGAATAGTTTGATAAATGAAAATTATTCATTTTATTTCTAGACGTTTTGTTTATTGGTTTTGTGAGATGGTAAAAATTTTGAAAAGATCCATCTACAGAAGAAAAATATGGAATGGTTAGTTAAACGTTTTATGATGAAGCACAGTGTGGTTAGGAAAAATAATCTTATGTATACTCAACAATATTTAATGTATTATACCCGTAGTAAAGATTATAGTGATGAAGGACTCAAATTTATCCGAAAATTCAATCTCAAAACGTTCATTTTAGTTGCTTCATTGATGGGTAACTAAGAATCAGACAGTTATGCATTTAAGAACTATCACATGAATGCTGAAAGTGATTAATTTTGAGTTGATAAAGCAACAGATTTATCTAAAAATCACTAATCTGAGGTGATGAGAATGTTTTTTTTATATTTCTAGCATCCTACAAATATTCATAAACTTGATATTAGCTTTACCATCTGATTATACCTATTAGCACTTATCAATTTACATATTTCTGTGAAAGAAGGTGTTTTGGTTCTTATATCAAACATTTATAAATGACCGCGTTCCACAACAGTTTTTAATGTTAAAGGTTTATGGGTAACAGTTTGATTCTTGGATATTCAACCAAATTGTTTAATCAAATAGACTTATATTCCAAGTTTAAGAATAGTTATTATGATTCATTTCGTGTTTTTTCATTACTAACTTCTTAAAGAAGCAAAAACTTTGTAGAAAAATGAATATGATTTATCTAATTGTTTATCCAAGTCCTAAAACTATTATCATTTGCATATCTTTTACATTAGTACCTCCACTAAAACCTACCCTTCTTTGAATTGTTTTTGTTTCATACTATTCTATTTGTCTACTCTTAACAATTTCCGGTAGCTTTAGCTTAATTCAAGCGATACTTCAATATTTAAGTAATCAAACAGAAATCTTTTTTTGAATAGCTTACTTTATTTACAATATCATTTGTAGTTAATTTAATCACTTACAAATACATTCATCAGACATTATGGAACTTGCATTCTTATCATTTGAGTTATGTAACTCATTATTAAAATCATTAGTTATTATTATCGGTACGATATTGTGATTATTTATTCATCTTATTTAACATCTAAATACAAATAATTATGTATCTTCCTAATAAACCAGTCAAAAAGAGATGTCATCATTCATGCTGTCAGAAACTCGTCAGAAAGGTGTATTTATTATGTTAAAGGAACTGGTACTCTTTGGTGGATTCAATATATCGTCATCATCCAAATTCACAGTCTTAAACGTTGCAAGCGACCTGCTTGAATATCTGGGCTACCTGTTCCTCCGATCTAGATATTTCATCAAGTTATCTGTTTTGTTGTTTGTTTTAGCACATCATTATGTCTATTGTGCGCACAATTTATTCAGGCGCGTTTATGAAAAGTTTACAACCTTTCGCTATACGTGATACAAAAGGTACAATCAGCGACATCATGGTGGCTGGCAATATGCATTGAAACGAATGAACATTAATCAAATGTGGATTACCGAACTCCTAACATCTAACCGGTCATCATTCAAAATTTATCGTCACAACAGATCAAGGTATAAGAAAAGGAAACTTGTTGAAATACTTTATGCTGAGAATTCTATGTTGTACCATAAATATAATGTTGAATTCTATGTTGTTACTGCTGAGCTAATCAAGCAGCGACTGGTTTGTTTCAGGACTGAGATATTTTATAGTTAATTGGTGACTACTTTATGATAAACTAGTAGTAAATATAAAGGCTTTATGAAAAACAGAATAAATTATAAAATGTGTGTGTTATATTGGGTTTCGAATCAGTGTTTTAGTTATTTTCAGTAGTCTAGACGTCAATAATAACATGAAAAGAAAACGTTTATCAATGAAAAAAGAAATCAGTCTGTAAGATACTGTTATGAAATAAGTAGTGTTATACAATTAATGAGGAAATACTCCTGTTCGTTAGTTTTGAAATCAATCTGTCTAGTTTTATTTAGATCCTGTCAACTTAATTCATAGTTTTTTTATGGTATAAAATGGTAGACCGCTCGAAGTATATAGAGATAAAAAAGTCTTAAGTGAACATTTCGAGTAGCAAAACAATAGTTTTTGTCAATTTTGTAGTTGAACTAAAAATGAAAGCAATTGTTAAAGATTCCAAGCACCTCCAGGTTGTATCTCTTCATTTCTGTAGCAACTCGGATGACTCTCCCGGCCTCATCAGCCTCGTGACTTCCGAAATAACTCGGCTTTCACCATGATAAGTCACAACTCCTCTAAACGAAGACCTTCTAAATCCCAGGGAAGAGTTTAAAAGGTTTGAATTATTTTTCTGTTCAGCGTTTTATAGCGAGTTATTTTTCCATGGTATGGGGCGGCTAACCCTATGCCCGACCCTCCTCCTTTATCCGGGATTGAGACCGGCAGTATCCTCAAGAGTGATTCCAGACGGAGTAAGTAAAAAATCTAAAACATGACAACATCGTTAATCGGAAGATTACTTATTATAAATTATTTCAATATATATTAAACAATTTGTCAATAAAGTTGTCGGCCTGCTTGAATATCTGGGCTACCTGTACCTGCGATCTAGATATTTCAAAAAGTTATCTGTCTTTTGTTTGTTTCAACAGATCAATATGTCTATTAATCGCATAATCTATTCAGTTGCCTTTCTGAAAAGTGTACAACCTTTCGTTGTACAAGTTGCAAAAGGTCCTATCAGAGATATAGTGATTGATGGCAGTATGCAGCAAAAAGAATGTACATTAGATCAGCTGTGAATTGACTAGACTGCTAATATCTAACTGGCGATCACTCAATATATATCGTCAGAATCGATCAAGAAATAAGAAATGAAACTTGTTGAAATACTTTGTGCTGAGAATTCTATATTGCAACGAAAATATAATACTGAATAATGCTAATAATAATAATAACTGTTGTAAATCTTGTGTTTCACGCGTATATGATGCGATCTGAAGGAGGGTGTAAGCGCATACTTTATTTAAATTGTACGTCTGTAACGTAGCAAGTGAATGTTCATAAAGTATGGTTCAATTTTTTCTAAGTGAAATTGACATTTTAGATTAACCATAAATATTTAAAGTGTTTTCATTATGACTTAACTTTAAACTTTCAAGTCTGCATTCGTATTATTAAAGTAAACATTATCATCACTATGAGGATTTTTGGAGACTGTAGTATTTTTACAGTTGAATTCATGAAAACATGGAAGCACTAAATGACCGTTTCGTTCTGGTACGGGAATCCTCAGCTGTATGCATCCACAATCCCGCACATAGGAATCAAACCCGGGATTTTCAGTCTCGTGCTCGATCGTTTAACCTCTAAACCGCTTGATTATATTTATTTAGACTATTCATAATAATAAAACACTCAGAGGAAACCTTTGAGCTGCAATCTAACCATACATATTTTCAACTTCAGTTTGAAAGTCATATGTTTGATACCATGTAGAATGATGCATCTGTACTCTTGAAGAGCCCTTATCTAAGATTTTTAATGTTATGTTATGTGATTTTACTTTCTAAGAAATACCGTTTTCAAATTGAATAAAATCAGTCTAGTTTTAAAATGAAGTCAGTTTACACCTTCTTATCGTTCAATGATTTGTTGACCGAATTCATATATCCTTATCAAATGGGTCGCTCAATTTCATGGATTAGTTGAACTTAGACATTAACATCGTTGGATGCCGGCCGGCTCAGTGACCTAGTGGTTAAGGGTTCGCGCGCGAGACTGATAGGTCCTGTGTTCGAATCCTACGGGGCGGGATCCGTGGATGCGCAATGCTGAGGAGTCCTACAATAGAAGGGAACAGTCTTCCAGTGCTTCCAGGTTCTCCCATGCTGGCCTGACTTCAATTGACTCATGATCTCAACTATTAAAATTCATATATTCTTATTGTAAATTAATCGATAATTTAGAAGACTTCACAATTAAGTTTATAAATAAACGAAC